AAGGGTTTGTAGTTTCTATTCCTTACTCCCTCCCCATTAATAATATCATAAATACTAATGATAGAATGTTCTGAGCATGCTCTCACATCACCCTAAGCCATCATGTGAATTGTCTGGGTAAATTCAGTCATGATGGCATAGCCAAGAAGCCATGGTTTAGCATCATATAGGAATCCAGGCCCTTTTTCTGAGGATGGCTTCTTATGTGACCATTCGTGCACAAGAGGACAATATAAGCTTTGGGAGAAATATTGAATTTGCTGAAGTATATTTAAAAAAATAGAGGGAAAACTAAGTAGGTAAATAAAGAGCCCAAGAAAAACTTAACAAGCTAATGAATCTTTGATGGAAGGGATGGTGGAAAAGTGGAGATAAAGAAGACTCACGTTGGATAGTGATCGTGGATCTTGCTTGCTGGAAAGTAATAGGAGATGTGCCATATATGTGGAGGCGATTAGGCTGGGAAAGGCTGTACCATGCCAAGCAAAGTAGTCTCATTATTGAACCTTGGCCCAAAGTTGGGTTGAAATGAATATTGGTCACCTATTTTATGGCACATGGCTCAAGCTGCTCTGGTCTTATTGAGACCAGTAAGGTGAAAATGTAGCATGGCCTTTTGCCAACTGTATCTTGCTTTCTAAGCCACTAGAAGGAGCTTTCCATTGTTCCATAGCATTTTGAGATGGTCTGGCTTTCTCATGTTCAAAGAGTTTCTGCCAGGTTTATGAAGTAATGGGTGAATTCTGGTAAGCTCTTCTCTAAAAATGAACAAAGTTTCCCTCCAGCTACTTGTAGAACTGACAGGAACAGAACCAAGATGTCAACTACTTAGTACCACAAACATGGCTCGGTACACAGATAGATTGAGGTGCAGATTTGTAGGATCCAAGTGCTCAAAACTCTTCTGCTGAAATGAACAAATACCTTTGGCTTTCTCCTGGATGAAAATTGTTTTAATCCCCTCTTCCTGTTTATGAAGAACTTTGCAAAGTTGTTTTAAAAAATGAATAAAAGTCACACTCCTCCTTTTATACATTGCAGACAAAATATGGGTTATCTTTAGTGAGTTAAAGGATCAGACAAATCTAATGGAGGGTAAAGGCTATTTATTTATGTTATTTATTATTAAATTCATATGCTGCCCATTTCCCCCAGAGAGTTATCAGTTTGTCCTCATTTGATGCTGCAGTTTTATCTGCAGGATCATAGAGATATATATCTCTTAGGACCAGTAATTGGAGAACAGGAGTGCTATAGTATTGGGGTGGTCACTATGACAACAGACTGGTAAACTGGACAAATCCTTCCTCTGATTCAGCTCAGCTCTTCCAATAGTGATTTACAAGAATAATTTTAAAAAGAAGAATGCCACCTAGCGTTCATACAAATTATAACATCTTTGGATGTGTGTTGGACAGGCAGCATTAAAGTTTGACCATGACATATTCAGATTTGTCAATAGAAGTACCTTAGGTATTAAATTTATACTGTAATGGTATTATATTTTTGGATTGTACCTGGGTTGTTTTAACTTACATAGTTCTGGTTTTGGACCACAGCAAAGAAAGACGATGATGATTGACATATGTTGTTAGGATTTTTAACTCCTGTTTATTGAAGGCCAGGTGTGGCCTTATCTAAAGAGCATCGTTTTAGAGATGTGACGTATTAAAGATGTTTATAATTGCATAAGGTCCATGAAGCTCAGGGAATAAGAAATTGGTTTATCTAAGGAGCCACAAGATGCTTTCTTGGACTAAACAGGGAGCTTTTTAAGCTCGGTTGGTGGGTCTTGGACATCAGACAAGACGAAGCAAACCATGTTATACTTTAGTGCAATATCTGAACCCAGCCAATATGGCAGCTTAGAGATGGTTATTGCTGTAGAGCAGATTTTCCCTACATTGGGTCTCCAGATGCTGTGGTACTGAAACCACAGCATCACCCAACCAGCAAAACTCACAGTCAGCAATGAGGGAAGCTTAATTTTCTACCTCCTGGGGACCACAAGTTTGGGAAGGCAAGAAAACCCACTATACAGGAACAAAGTTTTTTTTTCTTCATTACTATCAGGAGTTATTTGATAAAAAGATCCAGAGAATAATCTGAATGTTCAAGATATGCATATAAGACTTCCCTGAACTAATTAGATGTTACAGAATGGGGGTGGGGGATGTGGAGGGAGACTGGGAACTATGTATAAACTAGTTCCCTAAAACAGACTAAGTAGCTTAGTTGTATACATGAATTGATGACAATCCTTTTTCTCTCAAATGTTCTCAGGCAATTTCACAGGCAAGCAGTTCTACTCTGGGGAAGTGGGACTGCAGCCTCTCATGAATTGCCATGAGCCCGAAGAGCAGAAAAGATGCACATTTAATTTTTGCCATTGACTTTGGGTTGCTGTATCTCTTGCCTCCCAGGAATAATACACCAAACTATGGAGAGGCACTTAAAGCATCTTCATAACATTACCCAGCCATTGTTGAAGTGATACAGTTTGTCCTCATTACCATGTTTTGGCACCACAATGAATGTGATTCTAGAATACACTGTAAGTTGCTGGTAGAAAAATGATCTTAGCCAGCCTTGACTGATTTTAAAAATTAAGCAGGATGGGCATTGGTTTGTACTTGGACAAGGAACCACTTGGGAATTTCAGGGCAGTTGGCTAGATTGGGAAGTGGGAAGTCACGATAATATTCTGGAAAAAGTGATGGTGAAATACTTCCAGAGAACTGCCAAGAAAACTGCAGGGATAATCACCAGAGTTGACTTATCAACTCAAGGATATCCTACGTTTTTAAGGAGATCAACCTGGCTCCTTATTTCAACCAAAGAAGGGGTAACTCCCTTCACCCTCCCAGCACTGGCCTCCAAAGGTCTACGGAAGAACTGAGATGGCAGAAGTAGGCATATTTTGTCCCTCCCCGTTAGCCAAAAAAATGAGACCCTTTCTAGATAGGAACACCAGTAAGAGGACTGATCCTGAGGGCTTCATAGTTTGTACAGACTTTCAAAGATTGATTCCTCCTTCAGTCCTTGGTGCATTTGCCTTCTTCATTTGCCAACCTGAGAGCACAGCCTGTTAACTGATGCGAGCCACTTTGGGAAACAGTGGTGATCTGAAGGGGGGAAAAAAAACACAGGATAAAACTGAAGAAAATTTAATAGGCAAGAAAGTAGAGGGAGTGGTGAAAAGTTTACCACATTGCAAATAGCTTCTGGTCAATTTCCTCATGAAATGCATTTTTAAAAGGAAGAGAACATTGAGGGGGAGGGAAAGCAGAACAGACATCTTTTTAAAAACGTCAAAATGTGAGTCTTTAACAGAGTAGGAGTTGCCAAGGTATAAAGCTGAAAACTTTCCCTCACAGAATTGAGAGAACGTCATAAATCCTGACCCAAACCTCCGAAACCAGAGAACAGCTGAAGCAGATGAGAAGAAGATGCATATCTTAAGCACTAATTGTTCCCTCAGCTAAACTTTTCCATTCTTTCATGTCATTTGGGAAATTTCTGCTCAGACACGAAACAAGGCTCTTTGCTAATCTATTGATCTCCCTAACAAGATCCTCCTGGTCTCTTGAACGATTGCCTATTTTTTTTAAAAAATGCAATAAATGTTAAAAACAGCTTTAAAAATACGAGTTACTTTGCTGCACTGGTTTCAGATCATGACATTTCTATCAATATTTTAAATGTACGATATTTCAATAATTTGGGAAATTCCACTGGAAAAGCAGCCCAGAGACTGTGAGGGAATTGCACAAAAGGAGTCTTTCTGGCAGCCCCTGAAGGCCCTCTCACTAAAATTGCTGACAATTAGCAGCAGTTTCTTGCCTTTGGGGGGGGTGAGAAATGAATGGAAACAATAGGGTAAAACTTAAAATGGGGGTATCACAGAACCAAAAACTTCCCTCAGAATTCCCCTTCAAAACCCAGTTCCACCTATAAGAGTGACGTGATTCCACCTACTTTGTATCCCTCAGCTCTGTGAGGAATAATGGGGGTGAGGTTGAAGCAAATGGGGCCAAATTGGTCCATCACAGTAACAATGCCTGAGTGCCAGCCAACCCCTTTCACTGAAAAATGGGCAGAATGATTGAAGATATCTATCTCCTTTTTTTAACTGGCTCAAAGTCATATATGGCTTTAGTCCTAACAGCTGACAACCGCTGGTTTCCTTTATTATTAACGGCTTTTTTTAGCATCTGCAACAAACCAGGCCTGTCAAGAGTTGTGCCCTAGAATTTCTGCCTGCAAGCCGCCCACTTTGTATTGATCTGGGGGAAAGCCTGACAAGGCCCACCCAAAATGTTAATTGTGACTCTTGGCCTCCAAACACACACATATGTATACATACATACATACATCGTGCACTGAGAAAGGTGGAAGGAAACAGGAGGACAACTAGCAGCACAGCAGACGGACCCAGTTACAGAGGCGATGGGTGCACCACTGGAAGATCTGAAGAACCAGGTTAGGGACAGATCATTATGGAGAAAATCTGTGTGGTCGCTAAGAGTTGACACCAACTTGATGGCACAGAATCAATTGTGTGTGTGTGTGTGTGTGTGTTGAGTTTACACATTGCATTAATCTATAATTTTTTGTTTGCTTCTTGGCTTAACAGGTTATGTGAATTGAACCATTATGTTCCGCAGATCATGACAAACTGCTTAAAATGCTATGAGATCCACCATTAAAAGCTATTAAAAAGCATGGAAAATATGCATTTTGGAGACTGAAACATTTGGGGATGTGACCCAAGCCCCACAGTATGGCCCCACAGTCGTCCCCGTTCTAACCCAAATAGTCTTTGGTCTGAAAACAATTCCCCATCCCCAGTTTTGCACATTCTCATGTGCTTTGACAGAACCCAGGACAAAAACTTTAGAAAAGGGGTTTGCACTTGACAACATTTGCTAGATGCTCATGGGGGAAATGCTTAAAAACTGAGAGGTGGGGGGAGAAAGAGAGAGACTCACCCCAGGCCATCAAAAATTAAAACATTCATTTATTAGAATATTTATGTAAAAAGACTCTCTTTACACATTGTTTTATACAATAGATTCATTGCTTTAAACGGCTCCTAGCGGAGACAGTATTGTACATGAAAGCACATACAGGCTACGGAACGCCTCTGACTCCTGCTTGGCCTGAAGCAGAGAACAGGGGCAAAGCCCAGCTTAAGTTGAGAATACAGAACTGTGGGAAGCAAGCTGGTTGGGCTCCCTTTTTGCCCCCCCCACCTGTGCTGTGCAAAGGTCTTCCCGCCCAGAGGAAGGGGCGAGTGCACTGAAGGGGGGTGGGAGTTAGTCGCCGTTTGGATGGAAGGATGCATAGGCGTGCAAGGAGCCCTCCCAGAGGGGCCTGGGGGGCCAGACAAACAGGCAAGTTGCACAACACCATTTTGCACAGGCAGACACTGTATGGCTAAAAAGGCACAGCACAGGGGCAGAGGGAGGAAACGCCCCCTTCGTGGCGGGGGAGTGGGCTGGAGGAGGAACGGCTATGTACTACTGAAAAAAAATCAGCAGGCACTAGCATGGCTCTGTAACAGGGTACGATTCTTGAAACAGGTTTCGATCACAGACTCAACAATAATCCAGAGTTGGTATCTAGTGTGCAGAACGGATACCAAATATGCACCATCTTCTTATACTTCCCCTCCCTTACCAGATGTACAATGTACACACTCTTCACAAACAAATCAGCAGGTAACATGTCCCACTTTGGAATAACTGGACTGAGAGATTAAACCAGGGTAGGACAATAGCCCTATACCTAAGAGGATTGGGGTCCTACTCCCTTTGAAGAGCTGTGCTACAACTTCCTATCCAGAGATGGTCCTCACAGAGTAGAAACATTCTATTGCAACTTTTCCCAACCTAGAGACCTCCAGATGTTTTGGACCACCCTCTCTCCTCTGTACTTTGTCATAGAGAGCATGGGTTGATGCCGAGAATAGTGGGACCTGCAGTCCAACAGATCTGGTGGGCACCATGTTGGAAAAAGCAGAAATAAATGCTCTTCTGCCTCTTTTCTGGATTTTCCCACTCTCTATTTTTTCAGGTCTAAGCAACAGGGACTATCTAAAACCCTGAACAAGAAAGGCTATCTTTGGCTAAGGGCCACAATAAACAAGTGGCAGATTACATAGTCAAGTTCATTGTGGACCATAATCAAGTTGGTTGATTATAGAAAGAGGCATTATGAAATGCTTTTCCACATAATTAAGTGTCTTGCATGTTACAGGGAGAAAGCAACGCTAGAAGAACCTTCTTTCCCAACACACTGATTTTCTACATGCAGAATTTTTATCCTCTACTCAGGGAAGCATTCAACCACGCCACTGTCTCCACCTGCAATCTCAAGTGATATGGGCCAGTATGACTAGTCTCATTCAAACTTCCTGTTCTAGGCTAAAACAAAACAGGAATGAAGCAAGAACATCTCCTCCATCATCCTTCTCATTGCAAAGGACTCAAAGAAGCTGCTTGCTCTGCAGGCCACTCCTTCTCTTTGTAATAGCCCATACTTTGACAGAAATACATGATTCCTTCCATTTCCAGGAATGTGAGTCTTGCTATCACATAAAAATGTTAATTTATTTATTCCTGGCTATGGAATAACCATGGCACAATTCAAATATGATTAGAGGGGAGAGAGGGGGAAGACAGAGGTTGGATTCCCAAAAACCCAGGTGGTGACAGAAGTGATAAGGAAAGAGAAGGTCACCTTTTAGAAAGAAGATGCCCATTATGGAATAAAACTAGAGAAATGTGCTATGGAGAATGAAGGCTGGATGGAGAACAGAGCACAGGGTGTCCCAAGGAGCAGAAAAGAAAAGGACTGGGGGGAGAAGCCAGAGATATTCTGACTGAGATAGGTATTGGCAAAAGGAGAGAAGACTAGGTAACATGTGATCTTCTCTGTGCCAAGTATTGCTGGATGGTAAGGCCCAAATTAGTTACTTAATATTGTTTCATGCTCTCATCTGATAGGCAGTGAAAAATTGAAGCTTTTCAGATAAGAGAAAGAGAGAGAGAACTTGTGTCATAAGCATATTATCACTGTCCCCAAACACAGTAGGACAGTTCTTCATTGACATCCTAGTGTCTTTCATGGAATCTGTAATCTCTTCGAGAAATGATTATCCTAGTGTTAAAAACTAACAAAGTAAAAATAAAGCAGCGATCCTCTATGTACAACCACATATTCATCTTTGGTCAACACATGCTTTTGGAGTTGTATGTGGGCTGTGTGAACATGTTTTAACTGAGATCCCGAGATGAAAAAGAAGATAGTTTCAGGGAAGGAGAATAAGAAGTGAATCAGCAGAGAGAAAGACACACATGGGAGGGGTCCTCATCCTGGTGCCCTCCAGATGTGCTGGACTGCAATGCTATAATTCCCTTCCATGGCTGGACATATAGGAATAGTGGCTCAACATATCTGCACAGCCTTAATCAGATGGCAGCATCTTGTAAGGAGGGCCAAATGAAATCTGATGAACCAAATGAAGAGTCGGGAATCATGTGCCCATACCTCCTTACCCATATGTTCAAAACTGGTATAAGAGCAATGTTTGGTTACAGTTAACCTGCTCATTTTTACCACATAAAATTGAGACAAATAAACTAAAGCTATTACAACCATAAAGTAAAGGAAACCTGTGATGCTAGATTTGGAACGCCAACAATTTAGAATAATTATCTATGGCTCATGGGATTTAAAAAGAAGCCCACAAAAAGAAACTCATAAACCCTAATGCTTAGAAGAAAAGATAGAGGAAACATGGCATTACAACTGAGGATGGAAACAATGTATGGAGGTTACAAGGGCCAACTGGCTTAAAACACCAGTGGCTCAAAAATTAAAAAAAAAACAACCTTAGAAATAGGTGACTATGCTTGCCCAATGAATATGCGGGACATCATGCAACGCCATCTGATACATCTGAGCACCCAACGTTCTCAGCTCTTCTGGTGTGTTTCAAAGGTGGGGAGGGAGAAATTATAGCAAAGATGTTTCTCTGAAGTAAACAAGGAGGTGCAGTTGCCAGTGGAGAAGGCAACAGTGGGTCAGAGCATGCTGCTATCCAGGAGGATATATTTTTCTCTGGATAGGATGACTGGCATTCCCCAACCCCGAATATGGAATCTAGGTCTGAATTCTAGATCTGTTCCCTCTGGTCACAAAGTATGTTCCATTTAGATGTTCTCTTCTGCCTTCTAGCAAAGCTCCCACACTGAAGAGAAAGACAGAGAGGAGAAAGACACAAAGAAATAGAGATTGGCATAACTGGGTGTATGAGTGTCAGAGTGTGTGTATTTGCACATGAGTGCAAGAGCCTCCCCTACAAGTTAGGCCTAGTAGTGCATATCAGGGCTCACTGCCCTTTGGGGATAAAGGGCTCCCCCTCTTCAGGGTCTGGCCGGGGCCCTGGATCACTCAGACATCTCATAATCCGCTGGTTGCTGGGGCTGTCGCCTGTTCCAGGAGTAAAGACGTCATCCGTGCCTGGAGAGGAAGGCTCTTTGACCCGCATTACCAGCCCTTCCTCATCTTCATCTTCCTCCGGGGAGGGTGGAAGGTGATTCATCCCTTTCAGTGCCTCGTTCACCATATCAACAGACTCCGGAGACTGGGGGGATGCTGGGTCAATGGTTATGATGGGGAGGTTCTCAGAATCCGGCTTCGGGTCATAAGCAAGGGGGTCTACAGAAGGAGGCAAAAGATAAACTGAATGGAAGGAAAGAGCCACCCAAGTAGCAGAACTAGAGTTTTCTCTGGTCCCAATATATCAGGAAAATCCTTTTCCTAATTATAATGTTGTACCTACAGTCAAATGAGGTTTCATTTTTGGATGCAAACCAAAACATACTAAGGAATTCCCATCCTAAGTGTAGTTCCCATACATGTTAAAACTGCACAAAAGTAACCATTCATGTTCTTCAGAAGAACCTTCACCTCCATAAGAGCTGCAGGGAAACAATTACGTTTCCTGCTGTGGACCATTAGCTATCACTGAAATACAACTCCCAGTAGGAATAACCAGCATGGGCAATGGGAAGGGATGCTAGGTACTGTAGTTAAGAAACTCTGGAAAGTCACAGAGTCCTTATCCTATATGAACCTCCATCTTTCCCTCTTTTAATTTCTTAACTGATTTTTCATATGTGTAGCGCTTCATTGTGAGACAAATTTTTCAATGGCTGTTTATTTGGTTCCTTCCTTTGATGCAGCTGTTTGGCTCTTTCATATGACCCAGTGCAAAGCACACATATACAAAAGTTCTGTTTGGATATAGGCAGAAAAAGAATTTCTCATTGGACTATTTAGAAGTAGTCAGATGTTAACTCCAACTTTGTCATGTTCTAAAGCAATGTTTTTCAACCTTGGCAGCTTTAAGATGCAGGGACTTCAACTCCCAGAATTCCCCAGCCACTATGGCTGGCTGGGGATTTCTGGGAGTTGAAGTCCACACATCTGTTCCTGAGGTTGAGAAACACTGTTCTAAAGTATCAACATTAGGTCATAAAAAATGAGACACATTAGGTCATAAAAAATGAGAAACATACCCTTATGAGCTAAGGTAGAGTATTGGATAATTCACAGACCTGGAAGGATATTTTCCTCTACCACTTTTCATGTATTTTAAATGTGCCTGGCCAGCTCCATCCTACAAATGCATAGATGCTGGCCACATCAAAGAGAAGAATTTAAAAACATATATAAAAAAAGCTTTGTTGAATCACAATAAACATCCATCTTGTCCAGAATTCTGATACCCAGTGGTTGATCAGTTCTGGGGTATTCACAAGCAAGGATAGAAGGGACTTGCCCTCCTCTACTCTCTCCCCTCAACATGTTACATATGGCCCTTAAGACTGGTAGGCATTGATAGCCCAACATCTGGAACGGAGGGCAAGTGAGCATATTTGTAGTGGAGGGATAAGCTGCATTGCAATTGGCTTCAGACTGTGAATATTAATGGGTTGGAGTGGCAATATTTAGACCCAGTTAAGCTCTCATGACAGCCCGGAAGACCCACACCAGCCAACACAGGAAGAACCCTAAAGTCTAGTGAATCTGATTTAGGATTCCATTTCTGATGAGTATAGCTATACAGGTAGTCCTCATTTAGCAACCACAATTGGGACTGGCAACTCGGGTGTTAAGCGAAGTGATCGTTAAGTGAAATTGTCACTGTGCTTACGATCTTACTTCAGCTTTCCCTTGCTTTAAAGACCTGCAAAGGTTGTAAATGTGAGGACTGGTTGCAAAGTTACTTTTTCATTACTGTCATAACTGCAGTTGGTCACTGTACAAGGCAATTGCTGAATGAGGACTACCTGTATTAATTTGTTTGCCTTGGTTTTGGCTTCTGCTTACAAAACTCTAATGTCCTGATGATCCCATGGTGGTCAAATGGATACAGCCCTGTGTGAATTTGGTTTCTGCTTCCAGCTTAATATTCTGCTTTTTCTCTGAAATGTCTTTGTTCTTCTTTATGGTCATCAGTTCCTTCTTCTCTGCCTTCTGCTCTCATTTTAAAGGCTGTGATCTTTCATTCTTGGTAATGTTATTGAAGTTTGTTTCCTTTGTTTATTTTGCAGTTCCCTTCCTTTAAGGATCTATAAAACTATTGCTTCCCTTTGGTTCTTGTGGTGTCAGCCCCACGTCTGACAGTTAAAGCCTTGTGAGGCCCACATGTTTCAGTGGTGAGGGCTCACATCCTGAACACATCCTGTTGGGCTTGGGAGACATCTTTAAAGCATCCTGTTAAGTTTATGCCTTGAGCTTTTATAGGTTTTATGCAAGCTAGGCTACAGAGTATTTGTCCAGATAATGATCTTTATTTAATTTTATCCTCATTCCTTATTTATCCTTTCTCCTGCTTTGCACCTTAGAATATATCTGTCTGTTTGTGTTTCCTCTTTCTTGCAAAATGTTGGCAGTTAGCTAGGGGGACAAGTGAAACTTTGTCTGGTCAATAGCTTCTGTTCCTCAGAAAGAGGAATCATTTTATGTATATTGTAAACCACCAGAGTCATTTCCTAGTGAGATGGGTGACGACCAAATTTGAATATATAT